AGATGGTTCTGCAGAGCAGCACCAGCAAGGGGAGGGCACAACCCCCAGCACTCCACACAGGGAATGGTCATTTGGAATCCTGCAGGTGATGCTTTAAGATTTTTAGTTTCTCTATTTTCATGCATCTGTATTCTTGTACTTCTCTAGTACAGCACTAAAGACTACCATTCATTCTCTCATCTTTAGGCAAAACAATTCCTCTCTGAGCCTGAATCCAAAGACACCTCAGAGCCCCAAAATATGGAAACAACAGCAAGTTGTGGGGAGAACAAGTTTGGGGTGATTGACATCATCACCTGTAAAGATCATTAGAGAATTAAAACCCAATATGTTAATAAAGCAGAACTTATAAAAGGTGAAGATCTCGTGACTCGGTGTCGCCTCAAGAGGAGGCTTTGTCTGCCCTAATGTACCAGGGCCTGTTAGGCCTGGATTAAAATTGTCTATTCTCATTCTCTTAAGTTTGTCTGGCCTTTCTTTCAGATCAGCCTGATTAATAAGGCATCACAGATCCCTAGGATGATCCCACAGCTCATGCACCACCTTGGAAAGGGCCAAACTCACCTTGGTCACCAGATCTGAGTGCCTTATGATGGCCCTGACGAAGAACCTGTAGTCTGTCACCTCTGTGCCCACCTCCACCTTGGCTGCCCCCAGGTAGAGATGCATTTTGTGGTTGGCACAGGGGATGGCAGTCAGGTCGAAGTTCCTCATTCGGTTCAGCTCCARTTGGAATGCCAGAGCTGGCTCCAGGTGCCTGTAGATCCGATCCTCCTCGAACTGCAGGGGCCAGAAATGCAAAAAAGGGTGAGAAAAAGTGGAATTGGAAGGTGAAATACTAAGGGTGAGAACTTTACAACATCCCTTATGAAATTTCATATTTAATTCAAACCTGAGAAATTCAAACCAATCCAAYCCAGACTTCTCACACAGTCACAGAGAGCTGTGCTAAAATTGCTGCAGGACAAACTGCAGGACAGCAAGTTTTCAAATAAACCCCCCTCAAAAAAACCTCTTTTCCACAAAAAACAGAAGGTTTGGCCTGATTTGAGCAGTGAGTCACTGCACTGCTCCAAGGAACAGCTGTATGGGAGGAGGATAAAGCCAAAATATCAGGAACATCCAACTCACCTTATCCCGGGCACGGAACGTGAAGAATTTGGGGAATTCTCTCTGTTTGAAAATAAAAACAAGTGTTAGTCCTCTCAAAGCAGGCACTGATGTCCCCAGAGATCTCTYAGGACACTCCTGGGGCAGCACCACAGCACAGGAGGTGACACAAGTCACTCCCAGCTGCTTTTTCAACATCACAAAGTGGTGGAAAATCAAGACATCCTCAAAGAGACAGCAGAGGTAGCTTAAACCTGCCCTGACTAATGCAACAGAGGCTGCTTGATTGGCTTTAGATTATTATTGTCAGTTATTAACAGACAACTTGGAAGTGCCCAGAGAGTAGTGGGAAGCTTTTTCTAGTTCTGTTAGGATTAAGATTGCTGTGGAAATGATTGGAGTGATGTGGACACTGTTATGGATGCAGATGCACACRGAACAATCATCTCATTCTACATTCTCTCTTCACACCATCACTGCTAGAAATACTCCCTTCCCAAGGAAAACTGGGACTTGTAACCAAATAACTTTATTCTCCTGTATTGAACAGCAATAACATTACAAAAATCCTCCAAATACCACTCAGTTTCTCTGGTTTTCTGTTGTACAGACAAAACCCTGGCAGGCCCTTGAGAGTTTTGTGACTTTCAAGCAGAGTCACAAAATTCAGCAAAGCAGCTCTTTGTACCAGGACCCATCAGAACTTGATATGCTGTGGCTTTTTTATCTTCTTTTTTTCTTTTTTAACATATTTGCTTAGAAGTAGAAAGCCTGGCCAGCATCCTTCTCCCTGTCCCTCCAGTTCCATCCAGCCAAACCAACCCACTCCCCTGGAATCCCACTCTCAGTGCTCTGCACCAACACGAGTGCTGAAGGTGACCTGAAGGGACACACACAACCTGCCACAAATGCCTTGCCAAGCAAAAAAATAAAGAATCTGACCTGGAGTCACTGAATTTCTGGCTCACATTCCACCATTGGTGAAAGATGGATAATCCCAGCTGGAGGCAGCGTGATAAGAGTGACACAGTACCAGCCACCATGGAGCAGAACAGCTTTTATGGCTAGGAGTACAATTCTAAATACTCATTTTCCTTCCCTCTGAGGTAAAACAGCCCCCAAAGCTCACCTGATGGCTCTCAGATGAGCAAAACAACTTTTGTTTGCCTGGAGTACCTTCCAAAATAACCACTGGTACAAGAAACGCTGCCTGGAAATGGAGGCTCCCCCAAAACACTCATGGTCTGTGAGCATCATCTGAAAAATAACCTCTTCCATGTCCCCTCACTTCCCCCATCCCTCCTGCCTGTCCTCAGCACGCTGCCAAGCTTCTCCCACCATCTCCATCACCAGAATCATCACTTCCAAGGCATCTCACTGGTGTGGTGGGCAAACATCATAATTAAATGTGCACACACACACAAAAAACCTCACTGCTCTGGCACCAAAAATCCAAAAGAGTGCTCCATTTCCTGGGCAGAAGAATTATACCCCTGCTGTGTTCTAATCAACCAACCATCATCAAGACAATCAGAATAATTTGCCTAAATTAGCCAATCAAGACACCCTGCAAACTGCAGAATGTGAAAAGCTACACCAGAAATCATCATAGTTGATTATTATACTAATAATCACGTTAAAAACCTAATGAGATGAGGAAATTGGAAGCTTGCTGGAGCAACTCTCTATTACCTCAACATGCTGGGAACTAATTATATAGACTGTAATTAAAACAAAAACAAACTCAAGCCCGGGCCCTGGCTAAGTTAATGGTTGGTCCAGTAATGAAGGGGTTGGGATTGGGGATGGGAACAAAGGCTGAGAGAGCAGCCTCAACCCCAAAAACCCTGAACACACATCCCACACCACACAGGGACACCTTGGGGATGTTCCTTCTGTTCTGGGCTCCTTTCTGACCTCTCACACATCCTACAGCACTTACCCAGAAATTCGGATTTTTCGTTCCCCCAACACCCATTCCTCTCTTTAAAACTTCCTATTTTAAATCTAAAGCCTGGATTCTTTTGCTGAAGGTCCCAAAAATCTCTCTACAGAACCCAAMTTCCTGAGCCATTGACTGACACATCTGTACCTGTCCTGTGAGCAACAATTCCTGCCTGGTGACTCCCACATGGCTTCAAACACTATTTTTGTTGATTTTTAAACCAGTTTTCCCTTCATAAAGCATCCTAAACCCACTGTGTTGAGCACAGGATAAATTTCTTGCCTTTTTAAGGTTCCTAATAACTTCCAGAGGTGAAAATAGATACTCAAGAGATAAAAATCTGGTTTATGCCTTACATTGCCACCTAAAGCAGCCCTCACTGATGCCCAAGCCCTGGGGAAAGCAGTAATTCTCAGCAGTAAGAGCATCAAACATTGTCCACATCACATAAACTCTACAAAATCCAGCAAGTGCCCTCAGTGRCTGCTCTAAGTTACTTTAAAATCARTAAGGAGCCGAAAGAAATCACCACACTACACAAGAAATACAAAGATTTCACTGATAATTGTGTTTTAGAACAGCAGACCACACTGAGAACACACAGAAATTTTTATCAGCGTGGCTTCCTGAGCTCAGCCAGGTAAAGAGGGAGACTCAGAATCTCAATGGCCCCTCTGAATGCAGGGCCCAGCCTGGGTTTTGCAGTCAGATGTGAAAATAAAAATATTTGCATTTCACTTTGATATTATGGGCATTAATAGCTGAGTGAGACCCAAATGAGAAGCTCAGAGCTCCCTGGGTGTCCCTGGCCTCACGTCAGGAATGTCACATGTTCCAGGCCATTTTTACTTACATGGAATCTCTGATCCACCTCATAGTTGACCTGTTTCCTGAAGTCCTTACAAACGAAGCATACAAACAGAGGAAGAGAAAAAAAAAAAGCAGAAGACAGCTAGCAATTAGGATTAAAATCAAAAATGAATTAATTCAAGAATACAAGAGGCGTCAAGATTGTTTACAATTGTAAATTAATTTTCTTAAGCGAATTCAGGAAAACCCTCTCAGGTTTTAGAGGAYAAAAACAGCAAAGAGAGAACTAAAWACAGTCAATACAGCATTTAATTTGGGGSAAAACCATGTCAGATGGCAATGGTATTATGAGCTAGAAAACCAAGAGTTCTGAGCATCAGGAGAGATATTGAAATACCTTTTGTGCTACAAGGAACGTCAGCCTCCGAATGCCGTGTTCAATCAGAACTGATTTCTGTAAAAACAAGGATGGAAACAGGTGACTGGACTGGCAGAAACACAACAGACTGAAAACATGCTCAGATATGAAGTTTCTGTGAATTGGAAAAGTTTTTTTGGTTTTTTTTTCAACCAGATCAGAGAACATCCACTCTGGTTGCTTCCTCCTCCAATTCCCCCAAAGCCCCTCTCTCAGAGGAGAGCTGCCATCAGTATTCACCACACCACAGATCCCTTCAAGTGTTAAAATCTCGTAATTCTCCTCTTTTTAAAAACTTTTTCCCTTCCTCCTCCCTTTTCCAATTTAAAAGCAAAAAAAAAAAAAAAAAAAAAAAAAAAAAGAAGGGAAGGAGAGAAAGATTAGAGAGAGCATCAATAAAAAAAAAAAAAAAAAAAAAAAAACCACAAAAAGAAACAACTCAGCTGAAGCAGGAACGAAGCAGCCCCTCTCACAGGCACAGGCTGTGATGCTTCACTAAGGTTAAGCCCTTTGAAAATGAGCAGCAGTGACTATATTCATGGCAAAGAGGAAGAAAATAACTTTAATAACGCCGCGATTTAAAAAGCAAAAATTGTTATTGCTTTTAAAATTCCACAAGTGGCAGACAATAACAGCAGAGCAACAGGATTCTGATTACATGGTAATAATGTGGGTCTCCCAGCAAGGCCACAGCTATTACAGAGCGATTAGCCATCAGCACCTGGAGAAACTCCATTTCCACTGACTGCCTCAATCTCCTCCACAAGTCATTTACAAGTATATGATCCTAATTTCTATTAAAAAAACCACACACAACATGCTGGGACTAGAAGATTATTTGGACAATTTGGATCAACCTATTTGATGGTTTAATGTGGTTTGGGATTTTTTTTTTTTTTTAATATTTTATTTCTTTCCTTTTATCCCCTCCCATAAAACGCCTGGAGCACGATCAAGCAGATGAAAAGCAGAACTAGTTTTAATTCTTCAGATTTSATTATTTTCTTTGCTTAAAGACACAGGAAGGTGCTGAATCCAGCCCCACTTTACAACCCCTCATATCTGCAGAATCCATTCCCAATTCCTGCACTGGGAAGTTGGAAATGCTCACTCAGTGATGCCATAACCAGTGCAGATCCCAAAAATCCCAGTTCCTGCTGGGAAATCAGCTCCACAGGCTGGTGGAGCTCTTCTCACCAAGCAGGGGGACACAAGGAGGCTGCTCCCAAGGCAGGCTGTCTCACAACTGAGCCAGGACTAACATTTGGGATTTTAAAGTGTGCCCCACACTGAGGAAGGAGAATACAACATGCCAGAAAGGAGCAACAGAATATGCCAGAGAGAGGGAACAGAATATGCCAGAAAGGTGCGACAGAACATGGCAGAAAGAAGGAACAGAACATGACAGAAAGGAGCAACAGAACAATCCAGAAAGGAGCAACAGAACATGCCAGAAAGGAGCAACAGAACATGTCAGAAAAGAACAACAGAACATGCCAGAAAAGAACAGAACATGCCAGAAAGAAGGAACAGAATATGCCAGAAAGGAGCAACAGAACATGCCAGAAAAAGCAGTAGAACATGAACATGACAGAAAGGAACAACAGAATATGCCAGAAAGAAGGAACAGAACATGGCAGAAGGGAGGAACAGAACAATCCAGAAAGAAGGAACAGAACATGCCAGAAAAGAACAACAGAACATGGCAGAAAGGGGCAATAGAACATGCCAGAAAAAAAAAAAAGCAACAGAACATGCCAGAAAGGGGGAACAGAACATGCCAGAAAAGAACAGAACATGTCAGAAAGGGGCAACAGCACATGAACATGACAGAAAGAAGGAACAGAACATATCAGAAGGGAGCAACAGAACATGGCAGAAAGAAGGAACAGAACAATCCAGAAAGAAGGAACAGAACAATCCAGAAAGAAGGAACAGAACATGTCAGAAAGGAGCAACAGAACAATCCAGAAAGGAGCAACAGAACATGGCAGAAAGGTACAACAGATCACGTCAGAAAGAAGAAACAGAACAATCCAGAAAGAAGGAAAAGAACAATCCAGAAAAAAAAGGAACAGAACATGCCAGAAAGGTGCAATGGAAAAATCCGGAAAGGTGCAACAGAACATGCCAGAAAAGAGGAACAGAATATGCCACAAGGGAGGAACAGAGCATGCCAGAAAAGAGCAACAGAACATGACAGAAAGGTACAACAGATCATGTCAGAAAGAAGAAACAGAACATGACAGAAAGAAGGATCAGAACATGCCAGAAAGGTGCAATGGAAAAATCCAGAATGGAACAACAGAACATGGCAGAAAGGAACAACAGAACATGGCAGAAAGGAGTGACAGAACATGCCAGAAAAAAGCAATAGAACATGAACATGACAGAAAGGAGGAACAGAACATATCAGAAGGAGGAACAGAACAATCCAGAAGGGGGCAACAGAATATGCCAGAAAGAAGAAACAGAACATGTCAGAAAGCAGGAACAGAATAATCCAGAAAGAAGGAACAGAACATGGCAGAAAGGGACAACAGAAAATGACAAAAAAGAACAGAACATGCCAGAAGGGAACAACAGAACATGCTAGAAAGGTGCAACACAACATGCCAGAAAAAAAAGCAACAGAACATGCCAGAAAGGAGAGACAGAACATGGAAGAAAAAGGAACAGAACATGCCAGAAAGAAGGAACAGAATATGCCAGAAAGGGGCAACAGAATATGCCAGAAAAAAAGCAACAGAACGTGTCAGAAAGGAACAACAGAACATGGCAGAAAGAAGGAACAGAACATGTCAGAAAGAAGGAACAGAAAAATCCAGAAAGAAGGAACAGAATGTGCCAGAAAGGTGTGACAGAACATGCCAGAAAAAAAGCAATAGAACATGAACATGACAGAAAGGAGGAACAGAACATATCAGAAGGGAGCAACAGAACAATCCAGAAAGGTGCAACAGAACAATCCAGAAGGGGGCAAC